AATTTTAATAACGAGTTTTGAGTTTTTAATCAGAGAATTTTCAATATTTAAATCAGAGAAAACCAGGATCCCTGCTAATCACCTTCTTCTTCTCCAAATGCTTAGAAATGGATTCCTTGAAGGCCTGCTCCATGATTTTTCCAGGGACTAAGGTGAGGCTGCCTGGTCTGTAGTTCCCGGGATCCTCCTTTTTCCCCTTCTTAAATATGGGCACTATATTTCCCCTTTTCCAATTGTCTGGGACCCCTCCTGATCGCTAGGAGTTTTCAAAGATGAAGGCCAATAGCTCTGGAATCACATCAGCCAACGCCTTTTCCGCTTGATCTGGTGCTCTGCTGGGGGAGTGCCCCACTGCCACTGGGCTGTTTGCCCCTCGCCTGTTTGCGGCATGTGTGTGTGTGCAGCAGGCTGCCTACCAAGCGCCAGACCGGGCGTGTCGACCTCATCGGGCCCCACAGGATGCAGAAGCAGAGCGGTCAGGTCCCAGCACTGGGCTCACAGCCCTACTGGAGCCTCAGGCCCCGCCCGCTCCACCCCAGCAAGCAGGCGGCTCAGGGCAGCGCGGGCGGGCCCGACACGACGTGTCCCACTGGGAGGCCGCCGCCGCCACCATTCTCAGCCCGGCCCGGCCCGGCCGGCTCGTCTGCGCGTCCCCCCGCCGCCACTTACCGGCCCGAGTTGCCGGGTGCTCCGGGCCCCGCTGGAAGGGGAAGCGGAAGAGCAGCTTGTTGCCGCGGCTACCCGAGCTGACCAGGATAACGCTGATCGGGCTCGTGCTCTCGCCCATCGCGCTGCGCCCCCTCCCCCCCGCCGCGAGCGCGAACCATAAAGACGCCGCGCCGAGCGGCCTAGAGCGACCTGGCAGGAAAGTGGATGCTATCCTTCCGCCCCTGCGCATGCGCCAGCTTTCAGTGTGCGGCTCAGCGGCTTCTGAGGGCAGGGCGGTGGATGCTGTGCGCGTGGTGCTGTCGGCGTGGCCGCTTCAGGCGTGAAGAGACGGTTCCTGTGGTCATACGGGGCCGCGCTTGCGGGACCCCGTGTGTTTGCAGTGTTCTGCCTGAGCGGCGCTGGCTTTCTCCGCACTCGACCCCGTGTGCACACACCTGTGTGTGACCTGGCTGCTCCTGGGGCAGCGCAGGGCCTAAGCTGCCTCGGGGACATGCTGTTGTTACTCGTGCACCTCACCTGTAAGAGCCACCTCGTGCCAGCACCTAATACAGTGGTTCTCCACCCTTTTCACCCCAAGGTGCCCCTTGGAAAGCACCTTTCACCTTTCTCTCTTCTTTGCCTGCAAAAAGGCAATAGAGCAGCTTTCTGTTGCAAAGAATGGAAAGGCTACAGCTGTGGATGTCTGGTGGAAGTCACTGGCTTTTTTTCTGTGTTAAACCTATCCAAGCTAATGTGTGGCACACATGGAAGGATCTCAACAGACCCCAGGATGCTGCTGCACCCTGGATGAGTATAGCTGAACTAATAGAAACGTCAGAATGTGGGATTGGGGGGGATCTCCTGGGTCAGGTCCATGCCCCTTCCATTGTAGACACCACATGGTGCAACCAGATGACTTCAGAAATGTAACCCTTTCAAAATATGATCTGTCAGTATTAAAAGCAGTTGGGCTTTTTGCTCTCACTCTTTCAACCAGTACAGAATTTAATTGCACTAATTATTAGGAACCTTCTAATTCCAACCTAAATCTATTCATGACAAGTTTGCTGTATAGCAATATTGTCCTTTAAAAATGGCAGTCTCCTGATGTGTTTATAGACAGAAATTTCTCTCAGCATATTTATTATCTAAACAAAAAAGGTAAGTGTTTATAGGCTGGTCTTGTAAGATAGACTCTCCATTCTTCTGGTCATCCTACTAGCCTGTTTCAATTTCAGTTCATCTTTCTTGAACATGCTTCAGAAGTGTACACAATACTGCAGATGAGGCTTTACAACAGCACTATTACTTCCCTATATCTAGTGGAAATACTTTTCTTGATGCATTCTGGAATAACATTTTCTTTTTTCAGCTCTGCCTTTCACTGACATCACACCATCACCCTGTGATCAACCGTTTCGTTCAGGTTTTTCTCATTTGTTTCCTACTCAGGCTTCCAGATTAAAAACAGAATCATTGGCTACAGTTCATCAGTGCATTAATTTGTGTTGGGTGCCATTAAATTTCAGGTCAGTTTTATTATTCCAGTCCTCAAGGTCATCCAGTTCTTTATGCATGCTATCCCAATCCTCCTTAATAATTCCAAGTTTGTTTTATCAGCAAATGCTATTGCACTTTCATAATCCTTTTGCAAATGTCACTAATGAAAATGTTAAACAAGATTGGTCCCAAGACTGATCCCTGAGGGACCCTAGAACTAAGCTCTCTAATCTGATATTTCTCCTTTCACTATTCCTCGTTGCTCTTTCCCCCCAGTCTAATTCCATCTCATTCCAATCATCTCCAGTTTAATTTAGTGTCTGTGTGGCATAATAATCAAATGCTTTACTTAAGTCTGGATAGGTAAAATCTAACACATTTTCTTTATCTGGAAGATGAGTTCTCAAATAAAACTGTTGAGTTAGGCATGGACTGCCTTTAGTAAAGCCATTTGTATGGTACCTTCTTCTCGTCTCTGTTTAATTATCCTTTCCTTCAGTATCTGTTCTAAAGCCTTGAATAATGTTGAGGTGTAACAGGCCTATAGTCGCTCAGAATACTGTCCCCCACTTCTTAAATATAGGCACTGTATTTGTCATTTCCAATTATATAGTATCACCCTTGGCTTGAAAAATGTGTTAAAAATCACATGCCAGTTCTTTCAGTCTTCTGTGGTAGAGATTATCTGGTACTCCTGAACTGAAACTGTTTGAGTTTTGATTCCACCTTAGTTGTAGTAATTGTTATTCCCTACCCTCTTTCCATTTCCATCTTGCTGTTGCCCCAGTAGTCCACCACAACATCTTTATTAAAAAATTGAAGTGTAATCTGGTTTTTTTAAGTCTCTCCACCACCCTCAGAGCAAAGTGGCCCTATTTTTTTTGTTTCCTCCTCTTATTCATGTGGCTGAAAATACTTTTGCTGTTTAATATCCTTCAGAAGATCTAACTCACCTTGACTTCTAGCAATTTTCACTTTACCCCTATACTTTTTTGACTTCTAAAACATTCTAAGATAACTTTTTTATGGTGAGCATTCCTTTTTCATTTGTAATATTCTTATACCTGTACCCTTCATAAGGAAATTACACATCCTATTAGATCTGGAACTGTTTCCTGCAAGATTTTTTCCATTGCTTGGGCTGTAGATTCCTGATAGTTTTAGTCCCTTGAATTTGAAGAAATTACAGGCACTTTCCACACAGTCCAATGAGCATATCAGGTCAGCCAACTTGATCAGGCATCATTGGTATCTCTCTCCAGGCTCTTGAGCTGATGACAGTAGGTCACCCACATTTCACATCCGTAGAGGAGAGTGGGGATGATAACTGCATTGTAGACCTGGTTCCTGAAGGCACTTGTACACTGGCTTCTGTGCTGCATTTCTTCATCAATGTTCACTCTGTGAGAGAGAGCTACCAATGTAGAGGAAGTGCTCAGTTTCATAGTTAGTAGGGTCAGAAGGGACCTGAGCAGATCATCAAGTCCGACCCCCTGCCATGGCAGGAAAGAGTACTGGAGTCAAACAACCCCAGCAAGGTGGTTGTCTAGCCTTGTCTTAAAGAACCCCAGGCTAAGAGCCAGCACCACTTCTCTTGGAAGTTGATTCCAGATCCTAGTCGCCCTGACAGTGAAGTAGCACCTCCTGATGTCTAATCTGAATTTACCCTCTGCCAGTTTGTGACCATTATTTCTAGTCACTCCTGGTAGTGCTCGGGGGAACAAGAACTCCCCCAATGCCTGCTGGTCCCCTCTGACTAGTTTGTAACAGGCCACTAGATCCCCCCTCAGCCTTCTCTTGTGGAGGCTGAACAGGTTCAGGTCCCATAGCCTGTCCTCGTAGGGCCTGTCCTGCTGCCCCCTGATCATGTGAGTGGTCCTCCTTTGGACCTTCTCCATGTTGTCCACATCCCTCTTGAAGTGCGGTGCCCAGAACTGGACGCAGTACTCCAGCTGCGGCCTGACCAGTGCCGCATAGAGGGGGAGGATCACCTCCTTCGACCTGCCTGAGATGCATCTGTGGATGCATGACAAGGCACGGTTGGCCTTCCTGACTGCAACCCCACACTGCCGGCCCATGTTCATCTTGGCATCAATGATGACTCCAAGATCCTTTTCTGCCACTGCACTGATAAGAAGGGAGTTCCCCAGCCTGTAGGTATGGTGCTGGTTCTTCCTCCCCAGGTACATCACCTTGCACTTGTCAGTGTTGAATCCCATTCTATTCTCATCTGCCCACCCCTGTAACCTGTCTAGGTCCAATTGTAGCCTATTCCTTCCTTCTAGCGTGCCCACATCCTCCCACATCTTACCTCCAGGGTATTTTCCTTGATGGGGAGGAGGATCATATTCATGGCCTGGTGCAGGCCAATAGAGCACTTCACTCTTCCTGATGTTGAGAGGCAGACCCAAAGTTCAGTAGGTTTCTCCAAAAAGATCCAGTGCAGTTTGGAAGTTTTCCTCAATATGTGCTAAGATGGTGAAGTTGTCAGCATATTGAAGTTCAAGAATGGTTGTTTTGAATACTTTAATTTTTGAGCAAAAACATCTCAGGTTGAAAAGCCTTCCATTTGTTTGGTATTCTGTGTCCATTTTGGAAGGAAAAGGGTCCTGAACGAGAACCAGGATGACTGCCAAACAATGGAGAATCTTTGCCTGACCCAAGTTAAGTGACAAATGGATCTGTCTCTGATCTACGAACAATGGCTGCAGCCATCTATCTGGCCATGGAAAAGCCTCAGAACCGTAATGTACTTTTCAGGTTTAGCCATCTGAAAAGTATCCAGATCTGGCCAGTATTTAGAATCATACAGAAGTAGGGCTGGAAGGAACCTCTAGAAGTCCTCTAGTCCAACCCCCTGCCTGAAGGGGGTTGGACTAGATGGGGGTTATCCTATACAATCTATAAGCTAAACTCTATGCAAGATTACTGTGACATAACACAGACCTAACTCCCTGACCTGCCATAGATAAAGCAGGGGAACCACACGACTTCACAATTGATGGAATCAAAAGGTCTTAACGTCACTGAAGGCCATATACATGTCCTAATGTTGTTCCCAACACTGTTCTTGGTCCTGGTGAGTAACAAAGGTCATATAAATTTGTCCCACAGGGTGGTCTGACTGAGATTCTGGCATGAGTTCCTCAGCAAGAGGTAAAAGATGGTTCAGAAAGATGCAGGAGAGGATTTTCCCTGATGTGGAAACGAGGGCAATACCTCAATAGTTCCCACACAGACATTTATCTCTTTTCTTGATGATAGTTGGTATTCCTCAGACTAGGGGTGTCAAAGAGTCAGCCTGCAGACCCATATCATGTGGCCTTCAGATTTCATGGTGAGGCAAGTAGCAGCAGTGTAAATTGCATGGCTTTGGGAGCCATGGCAGCTGCTGTTCATCTCACTGCCAGATTTCCAAAGTGTTGGTCAGATCTGGACCATGGAGCTCTTTGTAACAGGGAGCCTTCTCAGGGCTGATCTCACTGTGGCCCACCCACCTGTTTCTGGGCTAACCACCTACCTTCTCACCCACCATGCCTTGTTGGTAATTAGTTAATAAAATGTCAGTTAAGCAGAAGGCTGTTCATTTCTTACCCCGATGCCAGGGGGCACTATCTGTGGCTCCATTCCTCCCCTATACCGCAGCTCAAGCCTCGCAAATGGCATCCAGATGTTCTCACGATCACCGGCCCCATGCT